TTTTCCTGCTTCTAGTGTGTGTGTGTGTGTGTGTGTGTGTGTGTGTGTGTGTGTGTGTGTGTGTGTGTGTGTGTGTGTGTGTGTGTGTGTGTGTGGTGTGGTGTGGTGTGTGGTGTGGTGTGTGGGTGTGTGTGTGGGTGTGTGGTGCGTCCTATAAAACCCGCATAAACACAATTTTTAAACACTCGTAGTTAACTAAGTTGTTGCTGTAAATAGTAAACTGAGAATAAAAATAGAAACCGCACTTAGGTATAAACACATACTGAAGAACGTCGAGATCTTGAAAGCGTAACATGTGAAAAATGAAAAAATAAATAAATAAAAAAATGATAAAAGTTGAAAAGGGAAAATTTCAAAACACAAAATATTATTAACACGAAAAAGTTAACATCATAGAAAATTAAAAACACAAAAAGTATAAATAAATAAATTACCAAATAAAAAAAAAATAAAAAATCAAACAAAATAACAGGAAAAGAAAACACTCAGCACCAACACCAGAGTCAAGTACGAGAACGAGAGGTTGAAAAAGGCGAAAATAAAAAGAACCATAAATCCTGCTCACACCTCCACCAGAACCTCAGTTACCTCACACAGCTTTCTGCAGGTGGTGAGTGACAGGGCTTTAGCATCACCACACAAAACCTCAGTACGTGGGTTCGAAGCCAGATATACTGAAATTTTCTAGGCGCTACTTTTGTTAGGGTGTCACTTTAGTCTTGTTGATGATGGTAACAAGGACCTGGTACTGTCTGTGATGGTAACAAGGACCTGGTACTGTCAGTGATGGCAACAAGGACCTGGTACTGTCTGTGATGGTAACAAGGACCTGGTACTGTCTGTGATGGTAACAAGGACCTGGTACTGTCTGTGATGGTAACAAGGACCTGGTACTGTCTGTGATGGTAACAAGGACCTGGTACTGTCAGTGATGGCAACAAGGACCTGGTACTGTCTGTGATGGTAACAAGGACCTGGTACTGTCAGTGATGGTAACAAGGACCTGGTACTGTCTGTGATGGCAACAAGGACCTGGTACTGTCAGATGGTAACAAGGACCTGGTACTGTCTGTGAGGGTAACAAGGACCTGGTACTGGTCCGTGATGGTAACAAGGACCTGGTACTGTCTGTGATGGTAATAAGGACCTGGTACTATGGTCTGTGACTGGTATGGTAACAAGGACCTGGTACTGTCTGTGATGGTAACAAGGACCTGGTACTGTCTGTGATGGTAACAAGGACCTGGTAATGTCTGTGATGGTAACAAGGACCTGGTACTGTCTGTGATGGTAACAAGGACCTGGTACTGTGATGGTAACAAGGACCTGGTACTGTCTGTGATGGTAACAAGGACCTGGTACTGTCTGTGATGGCAACAAGGACCTGGTACTGTCTGTGATGGTAACAAGGACCTGGTACTGTCTGTGATGGTAACAAGGACCTGGTACTGTCTGTGATGGTAACAAGGACCTGGTACTGTCTGTGATGGTAACAAGGACCTGGTACTGTCTGTGATGGTAACAGGACCTGGTACTGTCTGGTAACATACTGTCTGTGATGGTAACAAGGACCTGGTACTGTCTGTAGAAGGTAACAAGGACCTGGTACTGTCTGTGATGGTAACAAGGACCTGGTACTGTCTGTGATGGTAACAAGGACCTGGTACTGTCTGTGATGGTAACAAGGACCTGGTATTGTCTGTGATGGTAACAAGGACCTGGTATTGTCTGTGATGGTAACAAGGACCTGGTACTGTCTGTGATGGTAACAAGGACCTGGTACTGTCTGTGATGGTAACAAGGACCTGGTACTGTCTGTGATGGTAACAAGGACCTGGTACTGTCAGTGATGGCAACAAGGACCTGGTACTGTCTGTGATGGTAACAAGGAACAGCACTGACGACACAACACCTGAATCTGGGACAAGCAGTGAGAGGTCAGAGGTCAGGTCGACGCGAGGTGCAGGTTCCCCCAAGATCACTGACTGGCAAGCCCCGCCCACATAGTCATACCCCGCCCACACAGTCGTACCCCGCCCACACAGCCATGCCCCGCCCACACAGTCATGCCCCGCCCACACAGTCGTATCCGCCCACACAGTCATACCCCACCCACAGTCATGCCCCGCCCACACAGCCATACCCCGCCCACACAGCCATACAACGCCCACACAGTCATGCCCCGCCCACTCAGTCATGCCCCGCCCACACAGTCATGCCCCGCCCACACAGCCATACCCCGCCCACACAGCCATACCCCGCCCACACAGTCATACCCCGCCCCCCCAGTCATGCACGAAACCATTTTCAGTTCATGACCTACTTGGCTAGTTTTTGACGCTTGAGCTCTCTCTTTGTAGCCAGGTTTTCTCCCACTCTCTCTATCTGGCCATGCTGTGTGGCCAGACTATCTGTGGAGCCAGACTATCTGTGTGGCCATACTGTGTGGCCAGACTGTGTGTGGCCATGTTGTCTAGTACAGCAGACAGCCACTCACTCGACCTATATGGTATAATTACACTCCTCGGTGTGTGGACGGATGCCCCTTTATCCTTATACGACAACACTTATTTGGTGAGGCAATGTTCTACCTGACTAACAGTGTTGACCCGTGGATCACCAGTAGTGGATCACCAAGATGGCTAATAGATCACCAAGACGGATAGTGGATCACCAAAATGGGTAGTGGATCACCAAGATGGATAGAGAATCACCAAGATGGCGAATGGATCACCAAGACGGATAGTGGATCACCAAGATGGATAGTGGATCACCAAGATGGGTAGTCAGTCAGTCACTCAAGTCAGGTAACTTCACTGATAATTACGTCAACTTGATGTATCTTAGTGAGACTCGCATGAGGGACGATGAGAGATGAAAGGAACGTGCCTCTCTCTAGTGTGTGTGTGTGTGTGTGTGTGTGTGTGTGTGTATGTGTGTGTGTGTGTGTGTTTTTCGACCATTTCACTATTAATTATATCACAAATACCTGAAACTCTACAACTAAGTGATTACTGAGAGGCATTAATAATTACGTGGTGTCGTGGTCACAGTTTGACATTTGCCCCGTCGTGACCATCTGCTCTCAATAGTAACCTAGATTGACCTTGCTGTGAGCTGGACGATGATAACGTAACAACAAGAACAATAATAATAATAATAATAATAATAATAATAATAATAATAATAATAATAATAATAATAATAATAATAATAATAATAATGGTTGCCCCAGACAGGTACTTGTGGCCTAAACTAAGAATCTGGGACATGCTAGCAAGACCCACCTCACGCTATTAACTCCTTCATGCTGCGGCTCACACGCCATAACATAACCTAACCTAACCTAACCTACCATAACTTAAACTACCATATCCAAATGTAACGTAAACTAACCTAAGAAAACCTAACCACAACGAAAGTACCACAGGGTCATCAAATATTCTCCTCTACACTGTTGGTCAATATCTGGCAACTACTCGAGGGTCATATATGATTGTTCATACAGGCGGTGAACGATGCTCTTCATTATATATTATGCCGCATTAACCAGACGAAAATTAAATAAAAAAACTAAAACAACGATAAATATGAATAAACACAGTCCACCAGTAAGAGATGCCAGATGTCGCCGTGTGTGTGTGTGTGTGTGTGTGTGTAATATGCCAGCACAAGGGTCATGATGAATAGCCGGTTGGTATTTAAAACAGTATCAGCTAGGTACTGTTGTGTTGAGTGCAGGGGGCTGGAGGTACTGTTGTGTTGAGTGCAGGGGGCTGGAGGTACTGTTGTGTTGAGGGCAGGGGCTCGAGGTACTGTTGTGTTGAGGGTAGGGGGCTGGAGGTACTGTTGTGTTGAGGGCAGGGGGCTGGAGGTACTGTTGTGTTGAGGGCAGGGGCTGGAGGTTGAGGGCAGGGGCTGGAAATTCTGTTGTCTTGAGGCAGGGGGCTGGAGGTGTTGTGTTGAGGCAGGGGCTGGAGGCTGTTGTGTTGAGGGCAGGGGCTAGGTGCTGTTGTGTTGAGGGCAGGGGGCTGGAGGTACTGTTGTCTTGAGGGCAGGGGCTGGGTGCACTGGCATGCTTGAGGGCAGGACGGGGGTACTGTTGTGTTGAGACTGGGGCTGGGTACTGTTGTCTTGGGGGCAGGGGCTGTTGTCTTGAGTGGGGCAGGGGCTGGAGGTACTGTTGTGTTGAGGGCTGAGGGCAGGGGGCTGGCACTGTTGTGTGTTGAGACAGGGGGGCTGGGTGCTGTTGTGTTGAGGGCAGGGGCTGGTACTGTTGTGTGCTGTTGTGTCTTAAGGGCTGGAGGTGCTGTTGTTGTTGAGGGCAGGGGCTGGAGGTACTGTTGTCTTGAGGGGCCTGGTGCTGTTTTTGGAGGTACTGTTTCCAGGGCAAGGGCTGGAGGACTGTTGTGTGCCTGCAGGGGCTGGAGGTACTGTTGTCTTGAGGGCAGGGCTGGAGGTACTGGTCTTGAGGGCAGGGGCTGGAGTGCTGTTGTGTTGAGGGGCAGGGGCTGGAGGGTACTGTTGTGTTGAGGGCAGGGGGCTGGAGGTACTGTTGTCTTGAGGGCAGGGGGCTAGAGGTACGTTAGTTAGTATCCATTGTTTACACTCCTGATCAGTTCCTTGTTATAAAATAATCAAATAATTCTCCCTTAACGTAACATCAATTAATAACAAACCAATTATCCTACAATATACAAATTACTAATGAACTAATTATCTTACAATACTTAATTCTCATGGTAATAATTATCTAAAAAAAATTACCAATAACCTAATTAATTATCAAACACATGCGAATTATCAACGAAATTATTGGGTTACAAATACAATTATCAAGGCTGTAATTATCTCGGAAGTGATCAGTAGAAACATGATTGACAATAAAAACTCTACTGTCATTATGTTGCTGTGAGAATACCCGCGCTGTTTGCCCCGCCCCGCCCCGCCCCGTCCAGTCTAGTTCATGCGCAACCCCGTGTTACTCCTGCCCGACTCTGCCCCGTGTTGCTCCTGGCCCACCATGCCCCGTGTTGCTCCTGCCCCACCATGCCCCGTGTTGCTCCTGCTCCACTCTGCCCCGTGTTGCTCCTGCCCTCTGCCCATGGTTTCCACTGCCCCCACCATGCCCCGTGTCCTGCCCCCACCATGGCCGTGTTGCTCCTGCCCTATGCCCCCGTGTTGCACCTGCCCGGCTCTGCCCGTGTTGCTCCTGCCCCACTTTGCCCCGTGTTGCTCCTGCCCCACTCTGCCCCGTGTTGCCACTGCCCCCACTCTGCCCAGTGTTCCTCCTGCCGGGACCTCTGCCCCCGCGCGTGCACCTGCCCCGACTCTGCCCGTGTTGCTCCTGCCCCTTTGCCCCGTGTTGGTCTGCCTCTGCCCCGTGTTGCTCCTGCCCCTTTGCCCGTGTTGCTCTGCCCCTCTGCCCCATTTGCTCTGCCCCACCCCATGCCCCGTGTTGCTCCTGCCCCTCTGCCCGTGTTCCTCCACCTCCTGCCCCATGTGCCCCTGCCTCTTGCCCCGTATTGCTCCTGCCCCTCTGCCCCGTGTTGCACCTGCCCGACTCTGCCCCGTGTTGCTCCTGCCACTTTGCCCGTGTTGCTCCTGCCCCACTCTGCCCGTGTTGGCTCCTGCCCCTCTGCCCCGTGTTGCTCCTGCCCCTCTGCCCGTGTTGCACCTGCCCGACTCTGCCCCGTGTTGCTCCTGCCCCACTCTGCCCCGTGTTGGTCCTGCCCCACTCTAGTCGCCCCGTTGCACCCCCGCCCCTCGCCTCACTAATAGGGCCCTCACTTGGTGATGTCAGGCGAGTGTCAGGACGCAATTAGGATGTACCAGACCAGTGTAATGGCTGCCCTTGTATCATCTACTGCTTATACAACACCCTGTAACACCTTATACAACACCCTGTAACACCTTATACAACACCCTGTAACACCTTATACAACACCCTGTAACACCTTATACAACACCCTGTAACACCTTATACAACACCCTGTAACATCTTATACAACATATGTACCTGTAACTTTATATACAACACCCTCTTAACATCTTATACACAACACCCTGTAACACCTTATACAACACCCTGTAACATCTTATACAACACCCTGTAACACCTTATACAACACCCTGTAACACCTTATACAACACCCTGTAACACCTTATACAACACCCTGTAACACCTTATACAACACCCTGTAACACCTTATACAACACCCTGTAACACCTTATACAACACCCTGTAACACCTTATACAACACCCTGTAACACCTTATACAACACCCTGTAACACCTTATACAACACCCTGTAACACCTTATACAACACCCTGTAACATCTTATACAACACTCTGTAACACCTTATACAACACCCTGTAACACCTTATACAACACCCTGTAACATCTTATACAACACCCTGTAACACCTTATACAACACTCTGTAACACCTTATACAACACCCTGTAACACCTTATACAACACCCTGTAACACCTTATACAACACCCTGTAACACCCGGATTAGCCAAAGTAAACAAGAGTTGAATTGTTTGCCTCCCGATACTGTACAAGGATTTGGACCCCGAGAGTAACACATGTAAACAATATAGTTACCAGATGTCGCCAAACAGTAACATCGCCACAAGGGTTGAACTCACCTGGAAAAAGAGACAAAAATAAACCTTAATGCTGCGGTAATAGAGTTAATGGTGCTATATATACACACATAATGGCACAAAACGTACAGATAATGGTATAAAAAGTAGTAATGGCTTAATGTGTACTAATAATGGGACAAAATGTACAGATAATGGTATAAAATAACGATAAATGGCCGAAAATTACACTAGATAGGGAAAGAAGTACATTAAATGCCGTAACACACACACACACACACACACACACACACACACACACACACACACCATCCACTCCACCACCAACACTCACACACCACCACCACACACACACACACACACACACACACACTACCATTAGTAAACCAATTACCTGAGAGAATATAAGCTAATACAACCATCAGGTGAACTGTACCCAACCTAACCTAACCTAACCTAACCTAACCTAACAACGTAACGTAACCCCACCTACCCTAACCTAAGCCTAATCTAACTCTAATCTAACTAACTTAACTTAATCTAACCCAACTAACGCAACCTTACCTAATCTAACCTAACCTAACTTAACCTAACCTAACTCAACCTAACTTAACCTAACCAAACCTAACTTAACCTAACCTAACCTAACCTAACCTAACCAAACCAAACCTAACCTAACCAAACCAAACCTAACCTAACCAAACCAAACCTAACTTAACCTAACCAAACCTAACAACAACCTAACCTAACCTAACCTAACCTAACCTAACCTAACCTAACCTAACCAAACCAAACCAAACCTAACCTAACCTAACCTAACCTAACCTAACCTAACCTAACGTACCAACATTAAGACCACCAGGTAAATAGTGAACCTTTGTGTGTAGGAGTTATTAGGTCACTTGTGCAATGTAATAACAGGTCATGCATGCTGGATACACACCTGCACACACCTGAACACACACCTGCATCTGAACACACCCTTGTACACACGTGCACTTCAACACATACCTGTACACACCTTTACAAACCTGCACCTGAAAACACACCTGTAAACATCTGCACACATGAAAAACTCACATACTGTAAAATATACATACACACAAATACAAACGCATATACAAAACACACACACACACACACACACACACACACCTACAACTACTTTGCTGTCACTCAGAATCGAGTATGACAATCATCCAACTATGAGACAATGATACGAGTTCTTTAGGGCGTCACCTTCGTTGGTGAGTTTTAAGGCGACAAAAAGCCGATACGGGACCCTCAGGGTCGTTCAGATGTTGCACATGTGGAGGGCTACATCCAATGCGGGAAGGGCGGACACAGCGTCTTTCCGGCGTTGGCGCTTGTCTGCCTCGGTTTGCAGTCGGGCTAACTCGAAAGTATTGACACCTTCTTGTGTGGTGCTCCTCCAAGCGTCACGGTGTGGAGTAATCGTCTCCCAGGTGAGGGAGTCGATTTGGCACTTTTTCAGGTTTGTCTTAAGACTATCCTTATACCTTTTCAGTTGCCCGCCAGCGATACGTTTACTATTCGTTAGGTGACTGTAAAGTAGCTGCTTTAAGCAGTCTACTGTCGTCCATGCGGGTAACATGGCCAGTCCAGCGTAGTTGTTCATGGATAATGGTAGCCTCGATGCTCCTACAGTCGGTGTCAGCGAGAATACTGGCATTTCTCTTGTCTTCCAGAAACTCGGAGGATGGAACGTAGTCTATGTTGGTGAAAGATTTGAAGGGCCTTGAGGTGCCTCCTGTATGTGACCCATGTCTCGCAGGGTGGGGAGGACCACTGCTCGATATACGTGCAACTTTGTAGATAATTTCAGCTCCCTACAGTTGAAGACACGGGTACGGAGTCTGCCAAAGGCTTGAGATGCACATGTGATCAGATGCTGAATCTCTTCATCGATGTCCGCGGTGGTGGACAGGTGGGAGCCGAGATACCGAAAGTGGGTAACATTACAGAAGGGCGCGCGCGCGCACACACACACACACATACACGCGCGTGTGCACTAACACACACACACACATCCGTCACAAACATTTAAGTACCTGAGTCAATCATAATTACCTTATATTTGTAAAGTAATTCAAGACTAATTGTATTTATATATCTGAATAACTTTTATGCCTATGTTGGATTACCTTCTGTATGTTGTATGTTATGTATCATGCATAATGTTAAGTGTTTACCATGTTGTATGTTGTAGTCAATTTTGTGTATGTTTTAAATGTTGTATGTTAGTTTAGTTTCTGCATATGAATGTCTTAGTGTGATGTTGTTTATCATCATTGTCTACAGTATGTCTTGTTTATTTGTTTACTTCTACTATATATAAGCTGACTGTCTTATCCAGCTACTTTATTATTATTATTATTATTATTATTATTATTATTATTATTATTATCACATATTATTATTATTATTATTATTACATTTTCGCCCCCAGGCCCCGGTGTGGGTCAGTGACCTGTGCCTGGGTGGGCTAATCCCCGTAAAAAAAAATTACCTCCTCACTTGTCGTTTTTGCCCATCTGTTTATCCTCACCTGCCTCTCGCCCACCTACCTCTCTTGCCCACCTGCCTCTTCTTTGCCCACCTACCTCTTGCCCACCCACCTGTCTTGCCCACCTGCCTCTCTTGCCCACCTACCTCTCTTGCCCACCCGCCCTCTCTTGCCCACCTACCTGTCTTGCCCACCACCTGTCTTGCCCACCTGTCTGTCTTGCCCACCTGTCTGTCTTGTCCACCTACCTGTCTTGCCCACCTGCCGCTCTTCAAACCTGCCTCTCTTGCCCACCTACCTCTTGCCCACCTACCTCTTGCCCACCTGCCTCTCTTGCCCACCTGCCTCTCTGCCCACCTGCCTCTCTTGCCCACCTGCCTCTTGCCCGCCTACCTGTCTTACCCACCTACCTGTCTTGCCCACCTACCTCTCTGCCCACCTACTTCTCTTGCCCGCCTGCCTCTACTCCACCCACCTCTCTTGCCCACCTACCCTTGCCCACCCCCTCTTGCCCACCCACCTCTTGCCCACCTACCTCTTGCCCACCTACCTCTCTTGCCCACCTGCTCTCTTGCCCACCTGCCTCTTGCCCGCCTACCTGTCTTACCCACCTACCTGTCTTGCCCACCCACCTCTCTTGCCCACCTACTTCTCTTTGCCCGCCTGCCTCTCTTGCCCACCTACCTCTCTCTTGCCCACCTACCTGTCTTGCCCACCTGCCCTCTTGCCCACCTACCCTCTCTTGCCCACCTACCTGTCTTGCCCACCTACCTGTCTTGCCCACCTGTCTCTCTTGCCCACCCCACCTCTTGCCCACCCACCTCTCTTGCCCACCTACCCTGTCTGCCCACCTGCCTCTCTTGCCCACCCACCTGTCTTGCCCACCTGCCTCTGCCCACCTACCTGTCTTGCTCACCTGTCTGTCTTGCCCCCTGTCTGTCTTGCCCCCCTGTCTGTCTTGTCCACCTACCTGTCTTGCCCACCTACCCTCTTGCCCACCTACCTCCTTGCCCACCTACCTCTCTTGCCCACCTACCTGTCTTGCCCACCTACCTCTCTTGCCCACCTACCTCCTCTTGCCCACCTACCTCTTGCCCACCTACCTCTCTTGCCCACCTACCTCTCTTGCCCACCTACCAGTCTTGCCCACCTGTCTCTTTTGCCCAGGTGTTAGTATTAACACCGTCTCGCTTAAACACATGACGTTGAGGATGACATGTGAAATTCCTCATCCTCTTTATAAGTCGCGTTCACCTCGTCATACATACATACATACATACATACATACATACATACATACATACATACATACATACATACATACATACATACAGTACATACATGGATGCATACATATATTCAAAATTATAAACACAACGATACACGCACAAATCTCTCTCTCTCTCTCTCTCTCTCTCTCTTCTTCTCATTGTTTATTTCTATTCTTCCCAAAATAAACGCTACACCTGTGTTTCCTTAAATGAATTAATTAGTCTTGGGAAGGTCGTTTGTCAGGTACACTCACACAGCAGCACCTTTAGGAACACACACACACACACACACACACACACACACACACACACACACACACACACACACACCTCTCCCCCCACTAGCTCAGGAAGACAAGTATTAG